CAGGCGTATCTAACGCCGGGCGTACGTTAATCCATGGCGTAACTAGCGAGATGTCCAGACTGGGCGATTAATGAACGCTAGCGTAAGTATTCGCGCGAAATATTCGTATTCGTAATTCGTCAGGAACGGATTCCGTAAAATATTTATGTTAAAATTACTTCTGTGTTCATTATAATTTTGTCTAAAGATTGACTGGTTCGACTATAAAGCTAAGTCAATGTAAAACAGAAAAATACTCAGATTTTGGATTCATTTTTCGAATAGTTAACCCTCGTTAACCCTAAAATGACTTAGTTTATTATAATCCTTAATCATTTATTAATTAATATCTGTTAAAATTAGAATGGGCGAATTTAGGCCAATTTATGAAAATTGAAGTTGAAATATACTATACTATTATAGGTCATGTAAATGTTCCATTAAATTCGAAACTTTTCTTTTATATTTTATGAGAGATGAATGTATTAGCTTCAAAATAAAAAAGATTGCGCAGTCATAGTGATTGACAGTATGTAGTGCGCATTGAGAAAAGAAGGTGCTCTCCATTTCGTCATGTTCAATTTTTTGGTCAACTATGCTGAAAACTTGATGGCGGGGAACACATGGGACTTCAAAGGCATCGCGCAAACGTTCTTTACGCGCTGCGGCAACTTTGATCTTGGTTCATTTGCATAGCGCTGCATGCGCGTGGCTTTGCCGAGTGATCTCCTTCTCAATAATACCTCGTTTTAACACTGCTGTCTTTTTGGGACCTAAGCAACAATATCCAAGGGGCGGAGCTTAGCGGAAAGGTCCATTAGTGCCGCACCTTCACTAAAATGATGCCACTCGAGTATAGGGTACATTTTTTTTAACTTTTTGGGGTTTCAGTAATATGTTAGTGAAACTAGGCTAATTATTGTGAATTTTGAATATAAACATCAAACATAGGATTGGTATTATCATTTTGAATGTGTATAACTTCATAAGTATAATAATTCTGTCTGATTTTATTATTCAGCTATTTTATATATTACTGTACATTTATATGTTCACAGTTAAGTGCTACGCAACACACTAAGATTTGATATGTTTCTTTACTATAGGCCTACTTTCGGCTGCAACCAGAGCCTCTCGCAAGCTTACCTCAGGTTCACTAATGTAAGTTGAAGATGTGATTTACACAAGCTCAAGTCGTTATCATGATACATAATTTTACATTAAATATACCACACCGTTACCGTAAGTGTGTATCATTTGATTTAGTTAGCAGTCCATGTAATGTAAATATTATACAAATATCTTCCTGATTTACTGTAACAAATACATAATGGTTATTGAAGGCGCTAATCATTTACACAATGTATTTGTGTACTATGAAATGCATTTATAACGCAACATTTATCATAGATTGCAGCTTTTTAATTATTTTGATCGTACGCGTAAACTAAAGCATACAAATACATATCTTAAATATAACGAGCAAAAGTATGTCATCATCATGAGCAATTAATATCAGTGAGTACTATCACAATTGTTATATTTTGTTGCTTACCTTATTATATTTCAACGCATTTTTACCTTACTCTATGCATTTCACTTGTAACTCATTATAGTATAGCAACAGTACTAAACAGATATATTGGAAAAGTTTGTTTTTTTTTTGTTTTTTTTTTGTTTTTTTTGTTTTTTTTAATTGTTATTTTACTGTATATAGCCTTTAATGTTTTCTGTTAATGCTGTGAATGTTTAGACCTATAACTTTATTCATCTATAATTTCCGAAAAGACAATTTGTAATATAATTTATTTCTTCGCATCAAAAAGTAGTTTTGGTCAAGAGAATAAGTCCTTCTACTATCATAGGAATTGAACCCAGGACTCTGGAATTAGAGGACAAGCATTTTAATCACTAAAACCAGGCACTCACTGCGCCCGACGGTCGTCGGCCGACGCGATTCTATGAAGAAACCAACGCGAAGACTCACGCGTAACTGATCGTTTTTAATGAAGATCCGTTCAGACGACCACCGACAATCAGCAGACGGCGTCGCGTCTAGGGCTCACAGGAAGAAGCGGAGTTGGATTCGTCGTGCGACGGTCGTACGACGCAGTGAGTGCCCGGCTTTATCTCCACTCAAATAATTTGACTCTGATCTGATTATCTTCGCACCACATCTAGGGCAAAATACTCTCCTCCGTCATAGGAGGTGTTAACGCTTTGTTCATTACTGCTTATGACACTGTCGAGGTCGCTGGCTAGATTTTCAAATGACGGTCTGCTCTCAGGTGTAGTATGCCAACATGCATTCATAACAGAGTATCTGAAATTAAAATGTTCATCATTAATCATTATGGTATGTAGTAATTATTATCATTTTGTTACATTATAAATATATCATCCTCCTCTCATCTATCATTATTATCATTATACTATAGAATAACATTTTCAACATCATTATCATGATAATCACAATCCTCGATTCTTCATTGTCATTATTATCTTAATTATCATCATCACAATTATTAACAATGCGCTCACTTTTACTGTGTCAAATTATACATAAGGAACAAATCTGTTGATGATACTGACTATCTGGTCGAGAGGTCAATCACAAAACTATGTAGTTTACCGTATTTTACCGTAGAGGTTCCAATAAGTGAATCTTGAATATTCCGCACTTAAATAAACACCACACCAAAGATATGTTTTCCCTATTAAGTAACGCTGTCCTCTAATATTAGAGAGCTTTCAATTGCACGACGACGGTAGGACGTAGAACGTTAAACAACCGATTTATCGAGGATTAAATAATCGGGCCTACTATCTATAGGGCCTATAGTATTTGACATTCAAATCCGTAGCGTGACTTAATTTATGGGAGGTTAGTTTTAGTGGAAAGTGGACCATTTGGAAAATTTAACCATTATACAATATTGTAATAATTATTGTTATCTGGAAGAAATGCCGACTTGAAATTCTTCTAAATTGTATGATCTCAGATACTCTAGAGAACTATGTAAATATATCTACGAATATCAATTTCCCGTTTTTAAATGCGGACCTTCTCCAGTTTTGGGGGGATCGTCCCCCTTAACCCTCAAGCTACGGGCCTGCCATGGTACCATTTTTATGTTTTTCCATTTTTTTTTTCTTTTTAATTTATATTTTGCATAACTGGATTTTTATTTCTAATGTTAAGTACATTGAGGCTTTCAATAAATGCACTTAAGCAATATCAAACTATTAATATTATTATTATTATTATTATTATTATTATTATTATTATTATTATATTTTCACAAAAATTAATTATAATAAGCGCCGCTCTCGAACAAGTAAATGGTCTCCAGTAACTGCTGCACTGAAGCCTCCTAATCATGTATGCTTACTACTGGAACATTTACATTAAACCTAGAAAATAAATCACCACACTTGCAATTCGTTGGAGATGTTTTCAGGTTTTTTCAGCCGCAGGCCTGCGCTTACTTTCTCGACAACTGTGTTAATCGACATTTTTCCATATGGTTTTGATCCTGTGTGAGAAAAACATGTAATATTAAATACCGGTATATAAGTAATATAAATGTACGATTTACTACAATGAAAATAAGCTTGCCCTTCCCAATTTTATTGTGTGCTTTTATCCTTGAATATTATTTTTGTATTTAAGATTGGGAATTTTGTTTAAATTCTTAATTGCGCCCTCTCTAGTTACAGCGGAATTTTGATGGCTTTTATTCGAGGCGAATTTTTTTTATTCCTTTTGATTTGGTCCTGGATGGTAGCTGCCAAAGTTGAAATGAACCTCCTGAATGTTTTATAAATAATTATAATTTTTTGCTTTTCTCTATAATGAAAAAAGTTTATTTATATCTTATGAAATTATTCAGAAGAAGCATGTTCCGTGATGGAAGAAAGTCAGTAGCGAAGATTTATTTATAGATTTTCATTTTTGATGTTCTTAACGTATATAAAATATCACATAAAGACTAGTATTTTGATACTTATGTACAGGTAGATACATTATCTTATTATGTTCGTATAATTAAAAGTTCGATAGAGTAGATTTGATGCAAGTCTCACTCTCATTTTTGCTCCTTCTAATGTTATTAATGCGTTGTCTACGGTAACTAATATCATGTGGAAATATCGATGACGAATATGTGTATTATAATATCATATATACATGTAACTAGGCATAGGCCTATATTTTACAGTATTATTATTCAAATAGTTATATATCTTAAATATTATTATAATAATTAATTATAACTGCTATTATTAACAACATTGATAATAAATTGCTTAGTTATTATTAAAAGATATTTCATATTCACTGTTTCATTATCCAGAAAGATGTGTATAAGAGACAGTACATACATACATACATACATACATACATACATACACACACATATATATATATATATATATATATATATTATATATAGATGGAATACTATCAAAACAAATTGCATATGCCTACGTCCTTATGTTTTTTTAATACAAACATATTCATCGCGAAAACAAGTTCTTTGACACGAGTCAATGAGACCCACAACAGTTTCAGCTAAGTATTCTAAAATTACCACCGTCACATGGCTTAAAATCTAGACATAGAGTGTGGCCTAGTTTAGGCTAAGTAACTATATGCCTATACAATTGTTTCAGGTTGAGTATCCAAACACGTTTGAATCGATTGTTGACATCAGTAGACTTTTCAAACACCTTGTTAGACAACCCTACAGAATGTCTTAATGAGAGCAGACATGTTCCATTAACTAACGATGGATATACATCACTAAAGTCTTGTTAAAAACAAAAACAAAAATCCGTAGGCCTACTCTTTGACACCTGGGAATGTAGAAACGCTCTTGTCGTGATTATAGTTGATTCATCATTATACAGCATTTATTATGTACGTTTTGGCTTCTCTTTAGCAATTTTGCTACCAGATTTATAGGTAAAGGTAAAAGATAAAAAACAACCAACAAGAATCGTTCAATATCTATACATACCCCTGATGCTTGTAAAGCCAAGTAATCGGATAATGTTTTCACGCCATGGCAACAGCCTCATCATCTTTATTTCGTGCAACATTCTTTCCTTTTCCTTGACATTATGATCCTCTACGTATATAAATTTGGAATATCGTTTGAACATAATGTGATGTAATAATTAATTGTGCCACAATTAACAATAAAAGAAAAAAACCACATTACCAAAAGAAAAATCAAAAGAAACATATTAACAACAACGATTGCGAACAGGTTCCGGTCCGTTTGCCACCAAGTCTTTTGCACCTAGGTATAGCATAAGTCCTAGAATTTATTTTATCTGTAATGTAGCCCTATCAAATCCTAAAGGACATTTTTTTTAATTAATTTAGAATTTTAGACATCTTACAAATATCTTGTTAAAAAAACAAAAGTTGACTTTAAGCAAATCAAAAATCAGGTATGTCAAATAATTTATGAAAACTAATTTTAGATTAAGTACAGACCTCATCTAAATTTCTGATATAGTTTCTTGTATTTTTATGTTGTCCCTGGTCACTGTTACTATAACTCAAATTCAGCCTCAAGGTCCAGTTATGCTTTATTAATATTCATTTTATTATGGGGCTTGCATTGAACTTCACATTGATATTTAGGCCTAGTTATAGAATTCAAAACCTGAAATATGGAATTGAAGGGCAAGCATCTTACCTTTTAGAGTCTTGATAACGACGTTTGTTAGACCAAAGCTGGGAACTTTACCTCTACACACCCGGGAATGGTTTCCTTCCAGGATTACGTTATATTTGTGTAAATCGTCCGGGTGCATCTCATTTACTGTATTGTTTTCTATAAATATTATACAAATTGTCATTAAACAATATCGATAGAAAGTGTCTATTGTACCTTGTATCTTATACGTAGGCCTAAAGGTTTGTTTTTTGAATTGTTAACAACAAGTTAACAATTTAAAATTTTACAAGCGAAATAAATAGATTGATACACGTATTCTGTCGGTGGACAAACAGAAGAAAACCTTTAAATATTCAACTCAAATATCGAAAGGCTTGTTAAAAACCAAGAGTAAAATGATAGAAATGCTTTAAGTGTCACTGGAAGTGTTTTAATTACTTTTTCATTTTCCAGAATACAAATCAAGGTACACATTTTTAAAATTCAATAGTGTCTGTCTTAAATTAATAATCTGTATATTACTACAAAATGAGTAAATTAATTTCAAAATTTTAAGATTTTTTTTTTACTCATTTTCAGATTAAGATTACTGTATTTTAAGATCACCCTACCCATTCCAGTGTCAATAACGGAAGATAGGAAAGAGTTTTTTTTATGTGTCATTATTATTGTCATAGAAAATATGTTCTTGTTCTTATTTTTATTTTTAAAGTTAAAAACTAACCTAATTGTACACGTATCAATAACAAATATTATATTTTATTGTTCCAGTTCAGTTGTTTGGCACAGAAATTTAAAACTATATTTGATTTAATTATGCTAATCAAACATTAAACTGCAGTGCAGTGACTCCATAGAGTGCATACCTCCACTTTGTGCTTTGATAACTGAATACAACAAGCATGGCGTTTATGGCGATACCATTATTTCTTATTATGCAAATGGGGTAAGTTTGAGATATTTCTTAAATATCTCTGATCTTCGCTTTATTCATGAGAATTTCCACCCAAAAATTGAATCTATCCTAATATATATCTACTGTACATAATGATCCATTCATTAGTTTTTGCTTAATCCTGCAAACAGTCAGACAGATAAACAATGAATACATAACCTCCTTGAATGACTAAATACCTTGTGCAAATGGTACGCCATACTCGTCTTCTTTCATTGTTGACAAATAGGGCACGTATACATGATTAGATTCCACCTCCTAAAAAATCAAACACATCTCGTATCAAGTGAGGTTTTGAATTATATCGAAACCACTTGTTAATTACATAAAATTAAATAATCATGTAGTTAATTCTATGTCTTACATTATGTTCAGTGTTATCTCCAAACACTTGAGGCTGAAATAGCAGAAATACAAAATAATTATAATATTAATAATGTAATAATCATGATATCTCGATTTACTATGTTTAGGCCTATTTGTAAAAATGAACATAATGCTTTTCCTCATTGTCAAAATGACAATTGATGTTGAGATTTTAAATTATATAGAAAATCGTTAAAAATGATAAAGTAAAATAATACATGGAAAAAGTAAAATCATAATAAAGGAAATCAACAAGTAAAGGAATAAACATGGAAATTAACTCGACGTCAGTGAGGCTCGAACTATATCTGTAGAGGTAATACCAGAGAGTTGTTATTTAACAACTCCCTGGTATACCGAGGGTGATGTGGGGAACTATAGCGCCAAAGGACTCACCTCTGCCGACGTTAACATTACAAGTTTATTAATATTCAAAATATTTAGAATAAGGTCTTATCTTAAAATGCACATCTTTGTTACATGGTTTTTGGACAGTTTGATTATTTTTATACTTAATGTTTTACACTATTCGGGAATATACACATACTTATATTGTATTTAATAGCAGTTTCTAATAGAAAGTAAAATGCTGCGAGTATGTAATTCATGTAAATACTAATAGATACTTCCGTACATAAAAGGATGTAATGATTTTTAATTTTAGTATTAAAGGTTGGTAGAAATGTATGATTGGGTGACTTATAAGAATGGGTTTCAAAAATTTGTTTACAATGCTACAAAACAACATAATAATATAGTAATAAACATGTTAGTAGTCGATCTTGTTTCATTGTTAACCACAATAGGCTTCACAGTATTTAAATATGTAAAAAACAAGTGTTATCCACAATAGCCTTCACAGTATTTAAATCCGTTTTAACAAAAAATATATATACAATTTTTAAATATTTTATCAATATTTAAAACTGTTCAAAAAAAGTGGCTAAATGAAGAACATGCCTCACATAAATTTAAATATGGTTTATGCATATCGTGCTTCTCAGTATTAAACTCTTTAAATAAAATAATGCTTTATCTACAATATGATTTTCATTTTTTAAATGAATGCTTTATCCACAATATGTTTTTCAGTATAAAATAAATTCTTTATCAACAATATGCTTTTTAATGTTTAAACTTGTTTAAATACTAGGGTATTTAAACCGGTTTCGATATAGTATCTTCATCAGGTAAATGACCTTATCTCAGATTATTTCGTCATCGGACGATGTCATCCGATGACGTGCACCCTTTGTTGGTATTTGAGGTCCTCTGTCCGCGGGGTCCTCTGTTCCCTGGCTGGTGAAGAAGGTCATCGTAAATATGTGATAACTTGAGGGCTTCTTATCTCCATCCATGTTGTTACTTTTTCCTTTGCGATGGCGTATACTTGGGAGAAACTGGAAGACCTCTACATCAGACTAGCCAAACATAAAGCAAACATAGGTGCATGTGTAAATTAACATAAGATTGAAGCACAATATTTGTTACCAAATTCACACATAAAAGCTGTTTTACTAACATATATATTCAATATAATTTCGATTACTATTATTTTATGAGATATTTTATTAGATGTTGATTTATTAGTAAGATATTTGGATATCAATACACCTACCTCCAAATATTAGGTTAGGCCTAGCCTCAATTAGAAGAGACTAGCCTTCAGCCTAATTAATTATAAGCCCAACCATAGCTATCCTCAAATACTCATAAACAGGACACAATCACACTATAGAAACACCACTAATATGATGACCATAATCAACACTTCTAGCATTAATTAGGCAATACGGACACATAAGTGTTTGAAAATACAGTACTTACCAAATCAATTTCACAGGACACATGTGAAACTGACAAACTAATACATGTGCAACAAACAATCTGCAAACGAAAGTACATGATTGTGTAAATTAACATTTAAGATTGAAGCGCAATATTTGTTACCAAATTCACACATAAAAGCTGTTTTACTAACATATATAATCAATATAATTACCGATTACTATTATTTTATTCGATAAAAATCATTTCATGGTAAAAATAATTTCTGCTAGGTAGAGAAGCTAATGGAATACCTTATATTAGTTTACACCTAGGCCTAGCCTCAAATTGAAAGACGTTCAGGACACAATCACACTGATCTAAACATAACTAAAATTATCATAACCTTAACACTTCTAAGACTTGACATAATAAATGTTTGAAAATGGAATACTTACCGATTCAATTCTAACTCTAAACGAACACATCCGACACCGTCAAGCTCTAAACTGACAACAATGACTGACGCTGCTGGGACCATGTGGATCTCGAAAAGGCTCCGAAACGCACTCGAATTTTATCGCGCTTTCGGGCTGAAAACCAAAAACGATCCAACGCTCTCCAAAAAAATCATCTCGAGTCTTGAAAAAATCGAGATTTTTACTGGCGTACGTCGAAATTAGTGTCGCTGCTCGTCTGGTGACTTGCAGCAATAAGCATTTACCGCAAGGCGATTTAGAGTTATCTCTTCAAGCAGGAGCGGATCCAGAAATGTCAAAAAGGGTGGGGAGAAAAGTTGGGCCGATCGAGACAACACTGTCCTAGGCATGTCCCCGCTGTCTGGAGGCATGCCCCCGCGAAATTGTTGTGTTCTAGACGCCCGAACAAAACATTTTTTTCTCTCTTTTTTTCTTTTTTTTTTCTTTTTTCTTTTTACCTCCCAAGGGCCGCCCCCCCCCCCCCCTAAATCCGCCCCTGTCAAGTGCAGCATATATTGAATAATATATCTTTAGCCTGATTGCAAGTAAGGAATATAATCTGGTAAGATATGTAAGATATGTGTAAAACACCATAGACTTACATTGTGTCGCTTAGTAGTTTTCTTTAACAACACTAGGCCCACAACAAGGAAGATCACAAACACTACAGCACCACCTCCAGCAATGCATATTATGTGTACAATGCTCAAACCGTTTGCGTCAGGTACCTAAAGTAAAAGCCATATATGCATATAATTAATAAAAATAATAACATTTGTTAAAGTCATAAAACAAATTAATTACAATGTTTAATCGATATCTTACATTGGTGTCGGCTGGATTTTCATTTCCCGTGTTATCTCCAAACTTTTGAGTGGCAGTGGAGGTAGTGGTGATGGTAGTGATTGTAGTGGTGGTAGTAGTGACAGTAGTACCATGGAGGTATTATTGAGAAGGAGATCACTCGAAACAGCTACGCGCACGCAGCGCTATGCAAATGAACCAAGATCAAAGCAGCCGCAGCGCGTGAAGAACGTTTGCGCGATGCCTTTGAAGTCCCATGTGTTCCCCGCCATCAAATTTTCAGCAGGCATTGTTTACCAAAAAATTGAATATGGCGAAATGGAGAGCACCGTCTTTTCTCGATGCGCACTACATACAGTCAATCACTATGGCTGCGCAATCGTTTCCATTTTGAAGCTGATACATTTATCTCTCATAAAATATCAAACATATTAATATTTTCCACCAAAAAAGTTTCGAATTTAATAGAACATTTACATGACCTTTAAAAGTACGGTATAGTATATTTCAACTTCAATTTCCATAAATTGGCCAAAATTTGCTAATTCTAATT